AAATAAAAAAGATTGATACGCATCCATTATCATCATTCTTAATGTTTTGATTCTCTCTCTCTCTCTCTCTCTCTCTCTCTCTCTCTCTCTCTCTCTTACTCACTCTCTTTTTGTTTTTGTTTGTTGTTGTTGTTGTTGTTGATAATTTTATTGATAAAACTTAGATATTAATGTGAAAGCAAATATACTGTGTTATTTGATTGAATAAATTGATCATAATCATCATCATCATCATCATCATATTGATATAATCATTATATTTATTTTTTGATAATCTTTTTTCATTCAATGTGATAATATTCTTCTTCAATTAACAAGTGATAGAAAGTAAGATAGAGAGATAGGGAGAGAGAAAGTAACAGAGATTGTAAGTTGGTTTAGCTTTTATCGGATGTTGTCGTCGTCGTCGTTGTCGTTGTTTTTTTCTTTTGTAAATATTTATTCGAAGAATTATCTTGGAAAATTCCAATTTTTCCAATTTTCATCTTCTTATTTTCTTTTTTTTAATGATGATTATATATTTCTCTCTTTGATTGAAATGTTTCCATTAATACATTTTTCAAGGCATCTAAACAAGAAAAATGGATAATAATAATCATGAAGAACCGAAGAAAAAAAAAGGAAATTAGCTTGATACATTTTGATCAATGAATGTTTGTTTGTTTGTTTTTACTTACTTTTTTTTCTTCAATTTATCTTGATAATGAATCAATCGATTATCAATCTATCTAAAATGTTTATTATCTATCTATCTATATATGTGATATGGACGAACAAGAAAAAAAAATCTAATTATTAAATTGAATTGACCAATTTCTTCTTCTGCTTCTGCTTCTTGTTGCTTTTGCTAATCATTCATTCATTTTTCTTGTTGTTTGAAAATAATCGATCATCAATGATGATGATGATTATTGTTGATCAACTTCTTTTACGGTTTGACCATTATCCATTATTACTTTTGTTTTTTCGTTGTTGTTGTTGTTCATTTATTGATAACTTTATTGGTAAGTAGTTGGCAAAATGAGAACATTCATCTTCTTGTTGTTTTGCACAGAAGAAGAGAAATGGCAACCGATAATGAATGATGATGATGATGATGATGATGAATCAATATATCTTGTTTGAAAGATGACAACAACAACAAAACAGGATCAGAAACTAATTGATGATAATCATAGTTGTCAGTTTGTTTGTCTGTTTGAATGTTTGCTAGTCAATAACAGCAGACATTTAAAACAAAAAAGTGCCGGTTATTTTTTCGGTTTTTGCNAAATAAAATAAAGTTTTTCAAATAAGTTTAATTGTTGAATCATTTCAAAAGCCAACTGGATAATCAATATAATGGATTTCGACACTCTTATCAACGAACGTACTACTATAAGACAATGGGTAACACGAAAGTTTAACCAGGCCCAGTCTAATTGTTTGGAAAAAACAGAAAATATGAAAGAATTAGTGACGCAAAAAATCTCACGTTTGTTCCAAATTGACGATGAATTGGATGGTCATGGCTATGTTCAAGAGGAAATTGAAAGATATGGAACAAGTTGTGCACACTTGACAAAATATTTCAGTGGTGTAAACCACGTGGTCGCTGCAAATGATTTTAAAAAACGAGAATTACCCAAATTTGATGGGGATATCATGAAATTCCGATTTTTTATTCAAGATTTTGAAGAATTAATCTCGATCCATCCAAATATGTCTGGTCATGAAAAGCTATCAAGATTAAAATCGTTTTTGGTTGGGAATCCTCATGAATTAATTGAATGCATTGAAGGTACGGAAGATGGTTATAAGCAAGCAATCGAATTGTTAAAAAAGGAATATGCAAGTACCATTCGCATCAAGTCGGAGATCAGGAAAATGCTTGAAAATTTGCCTAAAGCTAATAAAAATAATATTGAAAGTGTCAAGTCGGTTTTCATGAAGTTGAGAAAAGTTTTTCATTTCGCCAATCAAACGAAAATGGATGATGAATTTATCAATTATTATATGAAAAGGAAAATGGCTTTATGCTGGTTCGGCGAAATACAACGTCTGTTTTCATCTACTACATCTTGTGAAGATATGTTGAATTTATTTGAAGAAGATCTTAATGGATTGAGAGAGCTTGACATTGGACGAACAACATCAAATGCGGCAGTAAATTTGAGTAATTCCAACCGAAATTCAAATAATTACGCTTGTTTAATTTGCAATGGCAGTCACAAAACTATTTATTGCAACGCTAATCTGACAAATAGTGAAAAAGAACGAATCGTAAAGAATAAGAAGTTATGTCTTCGATGTCTTCGACCAAACCATACAATCAATGAATGTCAATCACGTTATTCTTGTCGTTTTTGTCGTGGGCCTCATTCAGCTGTAATTTGTAATCAAAGAGGTACTACCAATCAATCTCAATTAATTGACCATTCATCATCAACCATTAGTGCTGCTAATCAGGGAAACGCCAACAGCAGCCTAGTGGAATGATTTTTTTTAATTGTATTATTAATGATCAGATTGTAAAAGCTTTCTTAGATACTGGAGCTGATATTACCTGTATCTCACGAAAACTTTTTAATAAATTAAAAATTGATTTAAAACAAAATTCTGTTATTAATATTAGACAATTAGATAATACAACAACATCCCTAGGCTGCGTGCTTGTTCATCTTCAAATTGGTAAAATTCAACATACGGTTAAAGCCCATGTGATCAGAAATTTGAATACTGATTTACTGTTGGGACTTGATACCAGTCAATTATTCAATCTCAAATTAAATTTGAATAATAATCAATTAACACAGAATGATATTTTACTAAATTCAAATGATTGTAATTTCAATAATTCATTTCAATCACAACAATCAAATCAACAATCAGCAAACAACAATCAACCAGTAAATCAATCAAACACTGAATTCATTATCAATCCTAATTTGAATCAACGTCAATGCTCCAATATAATTGATTTGATTGATAAACATAGAAATAGTTTTTCACAATCAAAGAATGATGTAGGATGTATCGACATAGAATCTCATCGGATTAATCTTACAAATGAAATGCCTATCTTCATTCGTCCTTATAGGACTTCACCCAAAGAAAATGAAATTATTGATCGGACGGTTCAACAACTTTTGGAAAGTAGTTTTATTAGGCCATCAACGTCACCTTATTCTTTTCCAGTAACATTAGCTGAAAAGAAGGGTGAAGGCAAAACTCGTTTATGTATCGACTACCGAAAGTTGAACCAAATCACCGTAACTGATCCACAACCAATTCCACGGATTGATGATATTCTTGATAAATTGTATGATAAAAAGTATTTCACTAAACTTGATATCAGTTCCGGTTATTGGCACATACCGATGGCCTCTGATGATGTTTACAAAACAGCTTTTTCAACACATACCGGTCATTATGAATGGACCGTTATGCCATTCGGCTTGAAGAACGCGCCTGCTACATTCCAACGCGCTCTTCGTCAAATTATTTTGAAACATCACCTCACGAATGTTGAGAATTATTTCGACGATATCATCATATTTTCGGAAACATTTGATCAACATCTTCAAGATTTAGATAAAGTTTTAACTGCATTCGAATCAGAAAATGCTAAATTCAAGCCTAATAAATGTGAATTCGCGAAAGAACAAATTGATTTCTTGGGTCATACAATTTCATTCAATTCAATTCAACCAAATAATGAAAATATCCGTGCTATAGTTGATTTTCCACAGCCACAAGATATGAAACAGCTGCAAAGATTTTTGGGTATGGAAAATGTTTACCATAAACACATTCACAATCATGCAATGATACGTCGACCTCTGACCAATCTTTTGAAAAAAGATGTGATATGGAATTGGTCAGATCAATGTGAAAAAGCCTTCAATAAATTGAAAGAAGAATTGGCATCTAAACCAATATTGACCATTTTTGATCCGATTAAGCCATGTATCATCTATTGCGATGCCAGTCAACAAGGCATTGGTGCTGTTTTAAAACAAAAACAAGCAAATGGTGACGAATTACCAATATCTTATTTTTCACGGAAACTTCTGAAACATGAAGAAAATTATGCCATCACCGAATTAGAATGTTTAGCCATAGTGGAAGCTTTGAAAAAATGGCATTGTTATGTGTATGGTCAACATACGACAGTTTACACGGATCATTCCGCATTACAATGGTTGAAAAATTATAAAAAGTTAACTGGACGACTTTTTAGATGGTCATTATTGATTTCTACATATGATCTGATAATTAAATACAAGAGTGGTTCTGGCAATTACGAAGCAGATGCATTGTCTAGAGCTCCACAAGTGAATTTGATCAACAAAGTTGAAATGTCAGTTGAACAAGAAAAAATGAGTGATAAAGATAAATTTGAATTAGAAGATGGACTTCGGATCAGGCGGGGAAAAGGTCTGAAGAAGATTGTAGTACCCGAAACCTTAAGAAAAAAGATATTATCCGAAGCCCATGAAAGATTTGGCCATCCGGGCACAAAAAAGATGATCCGATTAATATCACCTACCTACTACTGGCGTAACATCATTATCGATATTAGCAATTATGTCAAACATTGTGAGATCTGCCAGAAAAATAAAAAGACCAAATTAAAGAAATTCGCTGTATTGGAACAACTGCCTCCTGCTCCACAACCATTCGATTTAGTATCTATGGACACCATTCTTGGATTTGGTAAATATGGCTCTAGGAAAAACTTAATTCATCTGGTAGTTGATAATTGCACAAGATATGCTTGGGTATTTCCCCACACGTCTACATCAAAAGAAGCATATGTGGGTGTTGTGCAACAAATGTTAAAAGCCGGTCCAATCAAACAAATTTTAACTGACAAAGGTACAGCTTTCCGATCATCATATTACCGTCGTTTTCTTGAAAAACATAACATCAAACGTTTAACGACTTCAACAGCGAATCCACAATGTAATGGGTGTAATGAAAGGACTAACCAAGAAATTGTAAAAAGAATTCGTTGCAAAATCAATGATCCAAAAATTATCAAGAAAAATTGGACTAAATTAGCAGAAGATGCTGTTCATGAATACAATAACACTCCACATGAATCCACTGGATTTTCACCAGCATTTTTGTTGTATGGAGTTTTGCCGTATGAACAGTTCAGAATGGATAAGAATATGACAATTGATGAAGCTAGAAGAATAGCTTATCATAGATCAAATCAAAGCCACGATAAAAACAAAAGCTATTATGATCAGAAATTTCAACGTCCGTGTTTTCAGGTTGGTGATAAAGTCGTGGTACAAGTCGCCTGGCATCCTAATAATGGCAAATTGACATCAGTTATGGAAGGTCCGTATACGATCTTAAGGAAACTTTCCGATGTCAGTTACGAAATTGATCGTAGAAATCAACCTGAAAAACGTGAAACCGAAATCATCCATTCAAATAAGCTTCGGTTATTCCATTCACCGGATGATTTCCAATTGGAGGCCGGGAGATGTGACGATCCGAACCGTCACGTCATCGACGAAGGGTTCGATGGATGGTATGAGTAAAAAAAACCGTTGAGTTTTGGTGTGATTAGTTTATGAAAGAACTCGTATGAAAAAATAATTGATTTTGATGGTTTTATTTGTGTTGAAATAAAATAAAGTTTTTCAAATAAGTTTAATTGTTGAATCATTTCAAAAGCCAACTGGATAATCAATATAATGGATTTCGACACTCTTATCAACGAACGTACTACTATAAGACAATGGGTAACACGAAAGTTTAACCAGGCCCAGTCTAATTGTTTGGAAAAAACAGAAAATATGAAAGAATTAGTGACGCAAAAAATCTCACGTTTGTTCCAAATTGACGATGAATTGGATGGTCATGGCTATGTTCAAGAGGAAATTGAAAGATATGGAACAAGTTGTGCACACTTGACAAAATATTTCAGTGGTGTAAACCACGTGGTCGCNCGCAGTAAAATAGTCAAAAACACTAATAGTCACTCTGGATTAGTCAAAATTCTGATTAGTCGGCCTGCATTAGTCAAATTCTGAATTAGTCACATTTACGTTAGTCAAAATTCTGATTAGTCAACCTTCATTAGTCAACCTATTATATTAGTCGCTTTCTCGTTAGTCAAATTCAGATTAGCCGGACTGCATTAGTCAACNTACACTGAAAAAAAACCATTGCCCAAAATAGTCAAAAATCGAAGTGGTCGCACATTTTTAGTCAAAATTGAAGTTAGTCACACACATTTAGTCATTTTAATGGACAGTCGCAGTAAAATAGTCAAAAACACTAATAGTCACTCTGGATTAGTCAAAATTCTGATTAGTCGGCCTGCATTAGTCAAATTCTGAATTAGTCACATTTACGTTAGTCAAAATTCTGATTAGTCAACCTTCATTAGTCAACCTATTATATTAGTCGCTTTCTCGTTAGTCAAATTCAGATTAGCCGGACTGCATTAGTCAAATTCAGAATTAGCCGCTTTCACGTTAGTCAAAATTCAGATTAGCCGGACTGCATTAGTCAACCTATTATATTAGTCGCTTTCTCATTAGTCAAATTCAGATTAGCCGGACTGCATTAGTCAAATTCAGAATTAGCCGCTTTCACGTTAGTCAAAATTCAGATTAGTCGGCCTTCATTAGTCAACATATTATATTAGTCGAGGAATTTTGGTCAAATTTCAAATTAGCCGGGCTAGATTAGTCAACTTTAAAGATTAGTCGCATAAGGAATGGTCA